CCTGTCACCCAGACTGGAGTGCAGTGGCACCCTCATGGCCACCCCAGCATCGACCTGCTGGGCTCCGGCGATCCTTCTGCCTCAGCCTTCCAAGTAGCTGGAACTACAGGCGTGCACTACCACACCCAGTTAATTTTTTATTTATTGTAGAGACAAGGGTCTCACCAAGTTTCCCGGGCTGGTCTCGAACCCACAGCCTCAAGCAATCCACTTACCTCAGCCTCCCAAAATGCTGGGATTACAGGCTGAGCCTCTGAGCCCAGCCTAACACTCTTTATAATAAGCCCTGCTGAACCTAATTCTGCTGTTTCTCCTGGCATGTGGTCAGCTCTGAGTCTTTCCAAGGATTGCAGGTCCCCTGTATGTCCTAACTGACCATGGTCTTGGGCTGCCTCACACTGGGGATGGGAAGCAGCTTGTAACTGAGCTCTTTCATGCTGCTCTTAGATGCAGAATTGCTCTTCTCACTAGGAGGACAGACTGTGAGTTGCTGATCTCCCTCATTTCCAAGTTAAGGCCAAATTGCTCTTTCAATGTCTAAGCCACCTGCAATAAGAAAGAAAGAACAGAAGGACCTAGGTGGATCCTTGATCCTGTGGGCTCTCTCTTGACTCTCAAAATGCCCTAACTCCTACTCCTAAAAAAGAGTTGGAAATGAACATATTGGAACATTCTGAATGACCACTTAGCTGAACTGACATTGTTGAGGAATGGTTTGTCCAGCATGAATGAAATGAACAGATAACTCAAAGTAATCCCCTCAAGTAACAGTTAATTTATTAATTTAAAGTGGAAATATTCATACATGTTTTAATTATTGATTACTATAGACTACATGCTGGGCACTGTGATAGGCACTTTCAAATATTTTATTTATTCTCATAAATAATAGGTTAGATAGATAGTATTATAATCTTAAAGCTGAAGAAACTGAGTCGCAAAAAGGCAAAGTAACTGTCCAAAGCTACAAAGTAGAGGAAGAACTGAGATTTGACTTCAAATCCAGAGAGCTTTCCAGAGTTTTACATTGAGATATCATAGTCTGACCATGGGCTGGTAAACCTTACATGTAAAGTAGAGGAAAAAAGACTCTGCAGAATATCCATAAATTGATTTCCTATGGAAAATTCAATGCATTGGGTATAAGATAGTTGTTCTGGACCCTCAGAGGTCATGTAAGGTTTAGTTTATGAAGCCTACCTAACCCCCCCAGAAATTATGTCTTTCTTTCTCAAATAGCCACAGCACTTTAATTGGACCTAGAATGCTTTTCTACAATGTATTAGTATTTGTATTGTTTTTACATGCATTATTTTTCCTTATGATCTCATCTCATCTTTCTTACTAGTCTTTACATTTTTTAGAGGCAGGAACTGTGTCTTAGTCATCATGTATCCATCCACAGCATCTAGTCTAACACACAGAAAGTTCCTGAAAGTTTTACTTATTAGATGAATGAGCTATAAATGCAGCTATCTGAGAATCTATCTACTCATGGTCCTTTGCCAAAAGCAGTCTGATCCAGAGAGCTAGTATGAAAGACTGTGGCTGGGTGCAGGGTCTTGCTCACTTTCTGTCTGTCCTCTTTCAGGAGTGGCTCTGCCCTGGCCCAACTCTACGGAACCTCTGCTACCTTAGAGCATCACCATTTTAACCATGCCGTGATGATCCTTCAAAGCGAGGTACAGACTGATGGTCTACTGCTCCCCCTGGCAGAAAACCAAAACATCTATTTGTTTCCTACCTCTCTTTCTTTGTGGTCCAACAGAGAGAGACAAAGAAGTGAAAAAAAAAAAACAAACCATTATTAAATCAATCTACTGGGACTCAGTGGCTTTTAAAATTCTTTTGGATGCCTGACCAAACATCTAAGAATCCAAGCATCTCCCAGTCAAAGAAATATAGCCCTTAGGAGCTATAGAATCCAAGAGTCTTCAGATTCCTCCTGAGTTGATTCATTTGGGTTTCATTACTGGCTAGGAGGCTTTGCAGATTCACTTAACAGGGTAACAGGTATAGGCTGCTTCTCACCAAAGCAAGATCTGATCTTCCTTGAAGGATATAGAAGCCCACTAAGGGAGTGACTTGATTCAAGTAGTGAGTGGCCTAACATTTCCCTTTTGTGAAACCCAAAGTCATTTTAAAGATAGCAGAAGCAAAAATAGGGTGAGAAAGTTACACTTTATTAGCACAACTGAAAAACCTATAAAATATAAAAGAACTTAAAATTGCTGGTGGGACCAGTTTGAAAGTGAGAACTGCAACTAAAAGTAAGACCCAGGGCTAATGCCATATGCCGTATTTTGCTTCATGTGGCAATGCAGGGGTTAGAAGTAGTTGGAATTTTATACTTTTAGCTCTCCACAGAGAAAAACAGAAACCACTAACTGACTCTGGCTGAGGCATCTGAGTTTTAAATTGCCAGGAAAGGATCTGTTTAATTTTCTGCAGGCGTACAGACTTTTTTTTAGGCCAGGAAGGGATCATCTGTTCCCCATTATTTGTCAGTTCTCTAGCTGTGCCATTAATTATTATTATTATCATCATTAAGGCCCTGCTTCGCTGGAATAGCATCATTAAATATGGAGGGTTTTTTTTCCTCCAGCCTATCTCGAGAAAGCATGTCTTTTGCAATATCATGAAGGCCTTCGACCCCATAAAGGAGAGTCGACACTCTGGAACCTGAAAGCAGGCTCGGAAGGACAAACCTGCTGGGAGTGATGTATTTTCAACTGGGAATGAAACACCAAGGATTAGGCTCTCAGTAACTGACAGCAGCCAGGCATCTGTGGCTATGGAATTTTCCTACAAAAGTCACGTTTTAGCTGAGAACTATTAGTGGAACCTCAGTTCAGACTGTCTGTACCGTACTGGTAAATGTGGTGAGTTTACACCTCTGATCCCAGAAGCCCCCACATTTGCAATAACAAGGATTATAAACAGAATGTCAAGTTTCCTTGGGGAAACAAACCCCACTCACTCAGAATTTGTGTTCACACCAACAAAACACTTTGGCCGCCCTTCACTCAGGCGTTCCCTATGAAGAACAGAGAATAATAACGACAGAACCATGCACTGAGTGCCTGCTTCATGCAGGTGATGCCTCAGCACTGCACCCAGTTGCCTATGGTCCTGACCATCAGAAGGCAGAAATGTGAGGGCCATTATTGTCCCACTTTCCAACTGAGCACAGGTGCAGAGAGGTTAGACGGCTTGAGGAAGGTTGCCCCAGACCTGTCTCCCTCTACTTCTGCTCTTCTTTCCATCACTACCACACCCATGTCTCCCTAAACAAATAGCAGAAGCAGTACTGAAGGGAGGCTCAGATCTACTTCAGGGACCAAACCCTTGAGACACTGTAGAAGATAATTTGCATAGAAAAAAATACAGCGATTTAAAATTAACTTTCTTTTTTTAATCTATTTTTTATTTTAGAGTTGTGGGGTACAAGTGGGGATTTACTATATAAGTAGTTTTCATGAAGGTGAAATTTGGGCTTCTAACTGGCCCTCATTCCCCCTGATAGTGAACCAGGTGCCTAGTGTGTTGTCATGTGTCCTCCTTTCCTCCTCTCTCCCTCCCTCCCCCTGCAGTGTCCAGCATCTGCCAATCTCACCCTTGTGCTAGTGTGACTAGTGTTCAGGGCCCGCTTATAAGTAAGAACATGTGGATTCAGTTCTTTGTTTCCGCAATAGTTTGCTTAGTGATGGTCTCCAGCTGCATCCAAGTTGTGTGAAGGCCATGATTCTGTTCTCCTCTAGCTGCATAATATTCCATCATGTATATGTACCACATTTTATTTATCCAGTCCACTTTCAGTGGGCATCTGGGTTGGTTCCATGTTTTTGCTATTGTGAATAGTACTGCAATAAATATGCATGTGCAGGTGTCTTTTTTGTAGAGCAATTTACGTCCCTCTGGGTATATTCCCAGGAGAGGGATTGCTGGATTGTATGTATGGAAGCTCAATTTTTAGTTTTTTGGGGAATCACTACAGTGTTTTTCCTTTTTTAAATTAAAGCTGATCTGGCTAGCTTTGTCACACTTTTAGCTGTAAATGGTGTTAATTCCTATATGTCCTAATTTACACAGTCATGTGCCACATAGTGTTTTTGTCAACAAGGGACCATACATACAATAGTGGTCCCAAAAGATCATAATTCCGTAGTTTTACTATACCTTTTCTGTGTTAGAGATATTTAGATATGCAAACACTTCCCATTGTGTTACAGTTGCCTACAGTATTCAGTACAGTAATATGCTGTACAAGTTTATAGCCTAGGAGCAATAGATTACAGCATATAGTCTAGTTATATAGTAGGCTACACAATCTAGGTATGTGTAAAAACACTTTGATTTCATACAACAATGAAATCACCTAACAATGCATTTCTCAGAACTTATCCTCTTCCTTATGTGATGCATGGCTATCATAAAATGTACACCCTCACAAAATAATCAGAATCCTCAGATTCATATTGGCTTTCTACTTGTGTCAGTGTTGACTTTTACTGCAGCTTTTTCCTAAAGGCTCTATTTCTTTGACTGGGAGATGCTGTGTGTGGCTAGGTTTAGGTGACTATTTTTCCATACCTTTCAACCAACCACCTTTCCCTAACCCCCACAACACCCACCTGTGATTAATCCACGGGCAGTTCTCAGGCAGAAAACCTGGGCAGAATTATGGTGCAGCATTCCTTTAGTTAGTTGTCTTCTTCTTAATGGCTGAATTAAGGGTCTGGAAAAGTTCATTAGAAAATGTTATTAATATTGGACCTAGGCCTAGGTGGAACCAATATACTCTAGTCTTTAAGAAGTGGTGGGTTCACCCAATGAGATAAATTAACTCAGGGGAGCAGAGCATCATCTGGTGCCTGGTAAGAAATAATTTACTAATTAATATTCTAGTTTCCTGAAAGAATGAATTTATCTTTCATTGGAGAATAGTTTATTCTCTGTGAGTCATTCTGTCCCTTTCCTTTACCACCATTTTCCGGCTCCAACACTAGGTTTCAAACTGGTCCATTTCCCAAGCCACATGCTTGTGAGTTCTTATTTCACGTAAGAAAACCTGAAAAATGAAAAGTCCTGACTTTCAAAACAAACCAAGTGAATTGTTGGCCACTTTACAGAAGGACTATTCACTTTACTAAAGACAAATGTGGAGCTGCCTAGTACAGCTAAATCAAATTTTGGGGAATACTAGGATGTTTTCAAAAGTTTGGCAGTATAGGTGTCATCTTTAGAGTCTCAGTGTGCCAAGAACAATGTCTGATACACACCAACTATCCAGTAAGTATTCACTATATGAGGGAAGACCCCCCCAAAATCAGAATTTATTTATAAAAAATTGTGTATTTATTCTTTGTGTGTGTGTGTGTGTGTATTTATTCTTACATGGTTACACTTTAGTCACCTTCAAAGTACTCTCCATTTGATGAAATATACCTATGGATATGCTTTTTCCACTGCTCAAAAGAGTTTTGCAACTCATCAATTTTGATGCCTTTTAGTGCTTCTGCAATTTTTTCATTTCAACTGTTCCATTATGGCAAAACTCACTTGGGGTGAGATCAGGTGAATAGAGAAAGTAGGGCTTGGGGATCATGCTGTTTTTATTCAAAAACTGCTGAACACTCAGCACAGTGTGGGCAGCTGCATTGTCATGGTAGAAGAACCAGTTACCTGTTTGCCACAACTCGGGGCATTTCTTCTGCAAATCATGATGCAACCTTCTTAGAACTTCCAGATAAAAACTTTGGTTGACCACTTGATCTACAGGAACAAATTCCAAGTGTACTACAAGGGGCCGACCTTCCAAACAAAAGCTAATTCCGGGGTCCCCTCTCATACTGCATTTAGTCTACCACACACTAATCGAGGTGTACCTTAACAGTGTGATGCAGGATTCTTCCACTTCAGTAGTATTGATTTGTTTGGCAGGGGATGGTCTCCTATGCATCATAAGATGTTTAGTGGTATCCTGGCCTCTACTACTAGATACCAGTAGCACCCCTACCCAGTTATGACCATCAAAAATATCTTTAGACATTGCCAACAGTCCCTGTTCAAAATTACCCAAAGTTAAGAACCACTGGTTTAATTTTTTTTTCTTCTCCTTTAAGTTACTTGTTCTAGTAATAGGCCCCCTAGTTTTTAGTTGGGCACATGGCTACCCAGAATAAGAGGTGTCTTTCCTACCCAAAGGGTTTCCAAAATGCCAACTTAAACCTTAACTAAATAGTGAAATTAGTGTTTATTTGGGGGTGAGGAAGAGTCCCAAATGGCTCACCAATTTTTCCATTAAGTAATTTCATAGGTAATGGGCAGTCAGGTGGAATTGTGGGCACAAACATATCCATAGTAACACAAGTTCAAAAACTTTCAGAGTTTTCCCTTTGAGACTAAACGCATAATAAAATGTCCCTTTGTAGACCTTCTCACATATGATTATGTTTTCTGGCTTTGCTATGTGTGCCAGGGAATTTCTTTGTATTCATACAGAATTTCATTAAACTTTTTTTAAAAATGAATTTATCATTTCCCAGGCTTTTTTCTTTTAATATAGGAAAAAAACATGTAATCAACAACCACAGATTTAATGTTGTCTTTTGTTACTTTTCACTTTCTCATTACAGGGCCACAACATCTTTGCTAATTTGTCCTCCAAGGAATATAGTGACCTTATGCAGCTTTTGAAACAGTCAATATTGGCAACAGACCTCACGCTGTACTTTGAGTAGGTATTGGCATTTGATCTATTTGACAAATGGATAGCTAAAGTCCATCCTGTAATTAATTTCCAGGTCTACATCGGGGGCTGCCTGTTATTTTAGCATTGATATAAATGTGTAAATGAGCTCAACTTTTTTGTTGCTGTTTTTTCCTCGCCTAAATGAAGTTCATTAAGGAAGTACATATAAGCCAAGATAATCAAGGCTACAATCATGTGATTTATATCTTCCCTTTTGTAAATTTTAATTTTTTTTTTTGTTTGATTCAGAGTCTTGCTCTGTCACCCAGGCTGGAATACAGTGGCACAATCACCGCTCACCACAGCCTCGACATCCTGGGCTCAAGTGATCCTCCTGCCTTAGCTTCCCAAATAGCTGGGACTACAGGTGCAGGCCACCATGCTCGGCTAATTTTTTTTTTCTTTTTTTTTGGTAGAGATGAATTCTCACTATGTTGCCCAGGCTGGTCTCAAACTCCTGGGCTCAAGCAGTCCTCCTGCCTTGGTCTCCCAAAGTGCCGGGATTACAGGCATGAGCTACCACATTCAGCCTTTCTTCTGTTTTATGTGTCTTATTTGAGACTCTTGACACTAAAATGAAATGATGGCCATTTTTATCTTAGATACTGGCTAATCTTGTTATTTTAGACTATTATTTCTAGTCTGATCTATAATGGCATTGATGATGATGATGAAAAACATTCGTTGATGGAAAGTTAACTAGAAATCTAACACTTTATTCCTTGCTTCTCTTCTGTCTCTCTTTCTTAAAAGGTCTGCAACCCATTTTCTCAAAGTTCTGGCCTTTTTCTGAGCTGGAGATTTCATCACTCCCATTCCCAGCAGGACCTGCTCTATCAGGTTTCACCTTTTTGGGCAGGCTGGAAACCTCTTCCTCTACAAAATTCTCTCCTATCTTAAAGATCAAATGACTTCTTTACCTTAAAAAAATTATTTTGGCCAGGCGCAGTGGCTCAAGCCTATAATCCCAGCACTTTAGGAGGCCAAGGCAAGAGGACTGCCTGAGCTCAGGGACTTGAGACTAACCTGGGCGATTTGGGAGCCCTTGTCTCTTCAATAAATCAGAAAAATTAGCTGGGCATTGTAGCACAGGTCTATAATCCTGTCTAGTTGGGAGGCTGAGGCAGAAAGGATCGCCTGAGCCCAGCAGGTCAAGGCTGCAGTAGCCATGAGTGTGCCACTGCACTTCATTCTGGGCCACAGAATGAGAGTCTGAGTCAAAAAAAATTATTTCACTTGACCCCAGGTGGGTCACTTGACCCCCAATTAAAAGATCTTTAATTGCTTTCAAATTACTTTTCTTTTACTGTCTACCTTTTTAAATAACAGAGCACATTAGTACCTCTGTTTTCCTAACACCCATTTACACCTTGAAGAACAGAGTCCACCTCCACATTCTATCAAACTTATACTCTCAGATGTCTCTACAGACTTCCTTTGTCCCCAAATTCAATGCCCTGTACTCATCTCTGATATTTTCTGGCTTCTTTGAGAGAGCTAAAGGTTTACAGCCTTCTTATTGTCAATTCTATTCTCTTTGCTTCCTCAACATCCCCTTGACTTTCTTCTTCTCTAGATCCCTCATAGGTTTCTTTTCTACTTGCTGAGTTCATGAACCATGTTCTTTCTCTACTCAATTCACCTTCTGTATTACCTCTGTCTATGTTATTACCTGTGTGTAGAAGACTGAGACTCTTCACTCTTTCACATTGTAGACTTGTATCTTCAACTTTCATCTCAAAAACCTTCAGAGTCTTCATTGCTTTCAAAGAAAGTTCCAAACTTGGTTTGACTTGCAAGACCCCTCATAATCTGGCCCCAACCTTTTTTCATTCTTATCTTCTACTTCTCTCCTATGCGATTTGCCTACTTCAACCAGACTGATCTACATATTACCCTTTGAAACACCTTATGTAATGCTCCTTGTGCCCTAATCATATCAGCATTCCTACATGGAATCCTATCTGTCCACTTCCCCATCTGGATGAACTGACCATACTTTAAGATGACTTTTCATCCTTTTACCACTTTTTCTAGGAAATCTTGTGTCACTCCCTTTGAAATGTTACTGCACTTTGGCATTGCATCAGTTAGAATTCAAGACAATTGTAAGCGAGCGAAAATCCAAAGTATCAGTGGCTTACTTCTCTGTCTCATGTAAGAAGTTTGGAGATAAGCAATCTGGGGTTAACAGAGTAGCTATACAAAGTCATCAGGAACTCAGGCTCCTTCTGTCTTTCTGTGCTGCCATCTTCAACAATGGCTTCCATTTCTTAGTCCAATTTTGTTGTTCAAGCTCTAGCCATGTCCACATTCCTCCAGCAGGAAGAAAGAGACAAAAAAAGAAAGGTGTAAAGGTGATACAAGCTATCTTCTAAGACAGTTTTATGAAAGTGTTCATAAAATAACTCCTATATTTCACCGAATTTAGTCAACTGGTCATATCTAGCATCAAGGAAGATTTATTCCTGGGAACCAGTGTGCCCGGCTTCAAACCGGAGGTCTTATTACTACAAAGAAAGGGAAAGGGACTATTGGGGTAGACAACTGGCCATCTATTAGTTTTGGATTCTGCTGAATGGGTTATTACATAGTATAGCAGAAGGAGCAAGAGCTGTGGCATTATATTTACCTAGATTTAAATCTCACTCTGGCATTCTAATTAAACCTAGTGGAGTGAGTCCAAGTGCCTATGTTCTCTCCTTCCTAAAACTTTACTAAAATTATCCTATATAAATCTAAAAGAAAAATAAGGCATAAATCTGCAAGAAGAGAGAGAGCATACAACCTGACAAGAGACATCAATATATTTGTGGAAAATGACAGACCATCAAATGATAACTGACCTAGCAGAGTAGAAGTGAAAAGTTGGACTTATAGAGGAGGATAACTCTGAGAAGCAAACCACTTTGCCCTGCAAAACTTTGTTTGGGGCTTAGAGAAAACTGGGCATGACATTCAAAGCTTAAGGCAAAGAGATTACTAGAAAGTCAGTTTACAGAACAGTCATTGCCCAAGAAGTCCTTTACCAACACAGCCAGGTAACTCCCTTTCTTCTACCTCTAGAAAGCCAATGGTTTATTCTCCAGAGAACTAAAATGAGGGGTTCTAGACTGAGAAGAACAGAGTGGCAATAAGGTGCAATGCTTAGAAGAAGGAATTAAGTGAAATGAAACCAGTCTCTGGACTGAAAACTCATAGCCCACAGCCCAGCACTTAGAAGCTAGAAGGCTATCAGACATGCACCCAAGGTTGTCAGATTTAGCAAGTAGAAATACAGAAGGCCCAGTTCAATTTAAATTTTACATAAATCATAGTTTTTAGCATGTTAAATATTTGAGACATACTTTTACTAAAATTATTATTTTTTATTTATTTTTTATTTTTTACTTCTTTTTGAGTTGGAGTCTCACTCTGTCGCCCAGACTGGAGTGCAGTGGTACGCTCCCGGCCACCGCAACCTCAACCTGCTGGGCTCCAGCGATCCTTCCGCC